TGTCTTAAATAGAATCCTGGATCTTGAGATATTTGATGTACTCTGCCCTGATTTTGTTCAAGTTGGTTCTATTAACATCACTGTTATCATTTATGGTAAGAATTTCAAGATTGGAGATTTCCAATTCCAATCTTTAAGATTCTTCATGAATATCTCCATAAGCCTCCCTAGACCAAAAACTAAGTCTCAATGCCGTCTTCTTCAACTTCTGATGCAAGATCCATAAAAGAATGCTTTGGCATTCTTATTCCCATGTGCTTTTAACCACATCAAGAAAATCCACATGCTCAGTACAGAAATTGAGAAATTTGGAGTATTTAACATGTCTCCTCAGTATGGCAGAATTGAGCTAAGAGTGGCACATGATCAGAGCAAGTATTGGCCAAATATGTAATAGTAGTTCTACCAAACAGGTTAAACCACTCAGAGTTGTACACCATCCTATCCAATCTCTTCCAAACAGTATCACGAGCTCCTCTGTTGTTGCACCATATAATAATATTCCCCAGAAAACCTGCATCCTGCAAACCATATTCTATCAAACATTCCAAAAAATCAAAACTTTTGTCAATTCTATAAGGATTTCCTCCAATTTTTTTCTTAGGATCAGAGATGACATTAAAGTCACCTACAATAGCCCATGGTCCCATAATATAAACAAAAAAGATAACTAAGTTAGCCCATAATTCTTTTCTCAAATTGGATCGACATTTAGCATACACGGTGGGAAAGTGAAACTTTATATTAGATATGATATAGTGGACCTTACATGATACAATTTGATCAGTATCATTAACTATGTTAACATCTAAATCTCTGGACCAAAAAATCCAAATTTTATTATTGATATAGAGTAACAGTAGTTCATAACAAGTTGTTTCATGTGTTGATTCATTTTTATCCATTTCACCTTAGGTTCTTGCAAACAATGAGGGATATATTATATTGAAGCTTGAGAGTTTTGAGTCGCTCAAAAGCACTTTGAGTTCTTATACTCCTAATATTCCAAGATAGTGTATTAATCATCAGAAATAATTGGAGAAAGAACTTTGTTTGACTTCTTTATAAATTTAGTCTTCTGGGAATTAGACCAAATATTTTGATTACCGTCTAATCCCCTCGGAGAGAGATTGTTCACATCAGAAATCAATTTTTGATTCTGAGTTAAAACCTTCCCCGTCTCAAAGTCCATGTCGTCCATATTATTTTTGCCAGTATTGCTAGCCTCTCCTTCTCATAATGAGGCTTGTTCTTTTTGGAATTGAGTTTCTTCAACCTCCTCCTCTGAATCTGTTTCAAAGTGAGAGTAATCATCAACTCCATTGTCCTCATCTTGTGAATTTATTTCTATTGCTATGTTATTCATAGCCACAACCTTATCCTTTTCACTAAAATCTACCAAAATATGATACCCATCCGGATCCTCTGGTGGTCTTAGGGTCCCAATTATCCCCTACAAGTTATGAGCTTGAGAGGCATTCTTCATTGATTGTTGAATTTTCTCTATTTCTAATTTCCAAATTTCTTCATCATTGGATTTGTCATTATTTTCTCTATTTTCAAATCTCTACTGATTTTTATTCCTCTCATATGGGGGACCAATTTTTCCAAAAGAAGAGATATTTTTTGGTTGTTTGATCTTTCTAGTAGTGTTGCTTTCAGCTTGAGACTTAATAGGTACTATCTTGGGAAGATTTGGTGTTTGTTCCATGAAGTAAGTACTCACATTATGATCCTTCACTTTAGTCAACTCCTTTGGTTCATTGATAATACATTTTGAAGAGGACACAGTCCTTTTATTCATACCCTTTTGTATCTTCTTTGAAGTATTTTGGTTATCTCTAGTCACCTGTGTGGATTGAACCTTATTAGTATTGTTCCTCACTTTCTTTTTTCCCTTACTATTTTTCATAGTGGTCAACCCTTCCTCCTCATCTCTATTCTCCATTTTCATAGTGGATGTTGTTTGCTCTTTGTTGATTTCACTAATGTTAGCCCTTTTATCCACTTCTGTTTCATTACTTACATTTTCACTAGTAATTTCTATGATCTTGTTCTCCTAAATGGGTGCTTTATTACCTTTGTTTTCGAAGATTGTAGCAGGTTGCCTAAGTTCAGGGTGTTGAATACCATATTTTAGATCACTATGACCTTACATTTTGCAATGATAACAATATCCCATAATAGTTTCATATTCTATCTTTTGAACAACAATTTCCTTTTGGCCTGCCTCATTGAGAATGTCAATCAGAACCTCTTTTAAAAGAGGTTTGGTAATGTCAATTTCAATCTTAATTTTAGCCGTTGTAGGCCTTGTTTTTTATAAAGTGGATTTATCACAAATGATAAGGATTCCAATGGGCTCGACAATTCGACAAAGAGCAACCCATTCAAAAAAATGCCACCTCAACTCATGAAGGTTAATCCATACCGGAGCCATAGTAGTTTCAACTCCAAGTTTAAAATCTGCAGTCCATTTTTGCAATTTCATTTGCATACCACCAATTACGAGAGGAGACCTGCCATAAACACTTTTTTGATCTTCCTCCAAGCCAAAATCGATGAACACATTCTTGAGATTGTAAGCTCCTATTTTGTCAGCACCTTTGAGAGGAATGGTTCTCAGAAACTCTCTCCGTATCTTTTCGATAGATGGTTTAGATCTTGGAAAAATTCTCACAATAGTGAGACGACAAGTTTCATCCAATAAATCGTGTTCTTCCTTTGTAAAACTCACCACTAGTTTTCCTTCGACAATCTCGTATGGCCTATGTTTGAGTTGAATATTTTTCTTTGTTGTGTTGCCATTGGTGCTGCAAACTCCAAGTGCCGTAGCATAATGATAGGATTTATCTCCTACCAGTGTATTTCTGATGACCGGAGGAACTTCAATTTGAGGTGAAAGAGTTTGGGTAACAACTTGATTAGGATGGAATATAGTAGGGAATGAAGGGATTAATGGAGGAAAGACACTATTTTTTCTATTGATTGAGTCCAGAGGAGCCAGAGGCGGTCCGGAAACTATCCTGACGGAAAAGATTGGCCGCATTTTTCCCTAATTTTGACTGTTATATGACCGTTGACTGCAAGTTGGAAAAATCGGAAAAGGGAATGTTTATAGAAATGTTGGGCTTCTCCCACTAGTGAGGACATTTGATTTGGCTCCAAGAAGTGAAAAATGTCTCTTCAATAAAGTGATAATTTCTTTATGAAGCCGGGGGAGATAGGAAATGGATTTCTGTTGTCGGATGAGTGGAGTTTGATTTGATCTGAAAGTGATAGATTTTGGAAGTCTCTTAAAAATGGTTTTAAGAAAAATAATGAAAGGAAAATAAAGTTGATATTTTGAAGAAGAAATATGGCACTTGAGAAACTTTTTTTGGTGATTAGTCTGGTGGAATGGTATTAGTGATGGTGGAACTGGTCTTAACCTATGAAGAAGAAAGAGAAAGAAAAAAGAAAAAATAAATTTTATAAATTGAAAAGGTTGGGATCCACAAATTACATGTGTCAAATAACAACAAGCTAAGCATATGACATGTTATCCACGTCATGGAGATTGCATAACACGCTCAATCAGAGATGTTCATTAATAACTATTTTGTGAAGTATAAGTGTCAAAATGAAAAATTCGTAAGTTTGTTAACCAGCTTGAAAAATCAATACAAGTTTAGGTGGATGTGAGGCCATTTTGCCTAAAATATATCCACACTTTATAATGTATTTAATGATTAGCCAATTCACTCAAACTTTAGGACTAAGTATCCTGAATTTGGAAATTCAAGACTTAGTATCCTGAATTTTCGATGTGCTAATTTAAAATTCAGGACTAAGTATCTTGAATTTTTGTATTACTAATTTAAAATTCAGGACGTAACATTCGAACTTGTGGACAAAATTTTCGATTTTTAGGATACGATATCCTGAAGTTTGAACTTGAGGTTTAAACTCTAGGATGTTGTGTCCTGAAATTTGAGCGAAATTAGCCAATCTTTAAATACATTATAAACTGTAGATATATTTAAAACAATATTTAAAAGTGACTAAATGGTGCCATTTCCCCGACGGAAGGAGAGAATCTAGGATAACACCAACCATCTCTACAACCCAATTTTACCTCCAAAAAGGATCTCAACCCTGCTCAAATTCCAGTGTCAAGTAATCCCTTTTGTCCTCTTCATCACTTTAGTCAATTTCATCATACGATAAAATATCTAAATTGAACCAACCTTGTTGTTTGCAATCACACACCTTAAAAAATGGCTCCATTTTTTTCTTTTTCTCTCTGAAAAAGTATTATTACTAGTTACTATATGACACGCACTACTAGAAAATAGCTATTTTTCGACTGCCAAAATGGTCGGAATGCGGTCAGAACGGACTACATTCCAACCGACATATCGTAGTCGCAAAATAGCTAGTCTGAAAAGGTTAGCGACCGAATCTGTCTGTAATTTGAAAAGAAAAACGACTAATAAATGACGCCAATTGTCCGACTGACGCGGTCGCAAATAATTTAAATTAAATTTAAATTTTTTATTAACTTTTTCACTACTTCGGTCGCAAACGATATATTTAATTATAATTTTATTCAATTTTTCCCACCGTAGTGGTCACAAATAATATAAAGTATTTTTATTTTATTTGAGTTTTCCCACTAGTGTGGTCGTAAAATTAATTTAATATTATTTATTTATTTACATTTCCCACTACTGTAGTCGCAAATCTAATTTAATATTATTTTTTAATTTAATTTTCCTACTACAGCAGCCTCAGATGTTTTTGAATCTGAAAAATTTTGAAGCACTTTGCGACTACTGTGGTTAGAAAACTGGGAACTTTTTGACAAATTCCTGCTGTTTTAAAGCATTACCACCTGCCAATTTAAATATACAAGAACTAAACAATTAATCCAGCATGCCAACCAACCAATCCATCATTCCAACAAATTAATCCACTATTTCAACTAATCAAATCCATAAAATGCAAACAATTATATAAAACATAAATATTTGTAACTAAAACATCCAAACACAAGTTAAACATTGAAGCACCATTCAATCTAGTCTAAAACATTACAATCATAGTCAAGTTTAAACATTACTAAGTCTAAACATCCAACCACAACAAAAAATAATGTCTCAAACATCACAACCACAACAAACTAAAACTCATCATCTCTGTCATCCTCTTCATTCAAAGGATCCAATGGACATTTGCTCATAAATTTCTCCACTAGACTCTGCAATTTGTTAAAATTTGCGCGATCTTCTTTCCGTTCCTCCTTCAACTCTTCAACTTCTTTTCGTAATGCTTCCACCTCTTCGTGATTCTGCGAATAACTAGCATCACCAGACAACAATGTCGTAGAACGACCTACGGAATGTTGTTATCCAAGACCGTAAGTTCTACCTTTCTTTGCGCCACCAACCACCTGCGTCCATATTGAAGCTACATCATTGAGTGACACTTGGGTTGAGCTACCATCCTCGGTATCAGGTTAACTTTGACGCCATTCCTTGAAACGTTTTTGATAGGCTTCCTGGAATTAAAATGTTAAGCATTAAATTATGTTATAACAGCAGAACAAAGAATGCAAGCCTACAGATCTCTTATCAACTTAAATTAGTTATTAATGACACGAACAACGTCCTAAGACAAAGAGGGCGATGCCAAATGAAGCATCCATTTCTTGGATTTCTCCAATATCAGATTGTTAGCAGAGACTCTGGGAATCGTTCCATCTTGCAGAATCGGCAGGAATAATTCCTAGCAAACGTATTGTGGTAACATACCATATACAACCAATGAAACAGAGAATGGACGGTTCCCATCAAAATACGAAGCAACTACATGGTACAAGACACATAAGATACAACATAATGGCATTAGGGACAGAAGAGACCAATAGTTAACCTCCACGAGAGCATAACAACAACCAAACGTAGGTTACATGGTAATAAAATCCAGCATTATATGATTATGTGGAGAAGAGTAAATGGTAGATTTATTGCTCTTTATCAGATTGAATTATTTCAGTACATGGAATCCCAATTTTGTACAGATCTGCACTATCATAGAGCTGGTATAACTTTTGCAGTTAAAAAGTTTTATACTTCCCTTCTCAAGAAAATTCCAGCATTATATGGTAATCTCCCATGAAATGCTTTAATCAATCATTGCTCTATCTTTCCCTTTTCTGTATGGGACCATAGCAGCACATAGATCTAAGAAATGTGCTATAAATGGTAATAATAAACCTTCACAACTACACTCTGTTCCAACCAACATGAATATGGAAAACAAGACATATACTTTCACTCGAGCCTAGCTTGTACTTCTATTATTAACATTGTTTCAAGAATCTTTTGTATCGAGTGCACAACTATGTCATCGTTGGGCTGTTAAAAATTATGGAGGTCGCACGTGACAGTAATAACTAAGTGTAAAGATAGAGATACCAAGCTTCAAGGTCTGGTAAGTAGAAAAAGCTAATAATAATAATAAGTGTAAAGATATGTTTTATGTATAGTATATGCCTTCCGAGTGTACTGGACTATCAGCCAAGTCGCATAAAAATTTGCAATTATATGCTTCCTTCACCACATTCACTACATGGGAAACATATATAAACCTCTTAGAAGATTAGTTTGCCCTGTGAAAGAGTCGATTAACAGGCATATTTGTCCAATTGAAGCAAAGTGGTGGTCCAAACCACTCAAAGAAAATGGCAGATAGTGTACTAGAAAAGCAGCTAAACATTTGGAGTTCTAGTCTTGATTTCCATAGGGCTCTTCTACTTCAATTGTAAATACAGCACCTCTACCAGTCAGAACCAAATTCAACAAACTAAGAATGAAGTCTTAAAGGGTTCACTAAGAGCAGTATGATTTTCAAGACGTTGAAATGAGCTTTTAAGATTGAAACATGAGGGAATCACCAAATATGGCTTTTATTTGTTCTTTTCACTCTGCCTCAGCTTCCTAATATTCCCACTCAGCCACTCAATATCATTTCATTCTACATGGATACCGAAAATACAAAAAGCTCGTAAAACAGAAAGGTTGTATACATAGAGAAACCTTAAACATCCCTTTCAAACAAACAGATCATTTTGAACTAGCAAATACCCCTTATGAGAATTTCTCTCAAGATTCTACAACCATGACCACTATTAACTTAAGTTTTTCACATAGACATACAACAATACACTGGTTGTCACATATAATGTACATTTCTTGACTACAGCCTACTAATCCTTCGACATATTTAAGTAAACATTTGATCTGGATACATTCCATTCTTAGTACAAGGCATTGTAAGAACAAGAAGCACGGGACTTCTTAGCAAATGATAATCATATAGGAGTACACCAATATATAGAACTCAGACTGAACTACTGTTCTGGAGTGAGAACAGAAGCATCAAGGTGCTGTTAAAATTTCCATTCTTCACTGGAAATGCTATAGCATATTACTGACCCAATACATCGCATATGCACAAGGATCTACAACACGATTATGACCGACTAAATTTAATATTAAAGTCTCAAACTCCACTAGCTTCAGGATTTACTCCAGGAGCCTATATGATATGAACATGAATACCAGGGAACAAGAAATTGTCTAATACATGATTTTTTATTTTATCAGTGATATAGGATAATTTCTAAAGTTCTAGTGCATGCAATTTCAGGCAATCAATATAAATTACACATAGCCATGAACCTACCATCATCTACTTAATTACTTTTTGTTACTTAATTACTTTTTGTTTCCATAACCAACTAGAGAAAATATATATATAGATGACTCCTTAAATTATTGGTCAAAATTGAGAAGCCTATCTTAAGACAACGAGACAAAATCAAATCATCCTAGGACCTAACTGAGTTTGACAACCTCCCTCCTCAAGCACACCGTACCCTTACCTATATTGTTTATTGCCAATCATATGAACTTTATATTTTCCAAGTGATCAGTCAAGTTCATAGGTTTTCTTTTAGTACCTAAAATATTTTTTAGGAAGGCTAAACTAGAATCAGAAATTCATATATGGAATCTATACATGAAAAACACGCATATAAGCTTTCAATCGGCAAACAAAACTAATTACAGCTGCACAGATGACTTTTAAACAAACAACGAAATTTCACATGATTTGACCTTTTTAATTTGAAGTAGTTCTCAAAGATCGAACACTAAATGGACCAAGGACAAAGCATTTGAGTTGGTGAGTTTCTATTCACTCTCAAAATTCCAGGTCGCTTGTGAATGATTGTGCGAGAAACTAAAACCACATGCTAAACAAGTATTTACGCCAATGATTAATACTTTTGAAATCATTAGTTAGTTTTCCTCCCGTTTAATTAATATCCCCTCCGGTTCAAAACACAAAATTACTACAGCTACAGTATTGTATCGTCAACTATTTTACAAAATTACTACAGCTACAGTATTACGTAAGTAATTCCTACCGAAAGTACTACAACTATTTTCTTTACTTACCGTAAGATTTCAGCCGTTTGCCTCTGTCAGCCTTTGCCTCCTTCAGCCGTTTGCCTCTGTCAGCCGCACAGATGAAATTGGAATAGAAAATCAAGAAGAAAAAAGATACGGAGAGAGAGAGGGGGGCGGAGGGAAATCGGGGAAAAAGACGGCGCCGAATTTGGGGAAATAGGGTTTTGGCTGAAATATTAAATTTAGATTTGTGACTACGTCGCAAAACCACTTAAATATTATTTTACCATTTTAATATTGACTTTGTGACCGACCCAATGGCTTTGTTGGTCAACTAATATTTTTAACTTTTTATTGGCCGACTGAATCGGTCGCAAAAGAAAATGCGGGAAATTAGCACACTATTTCATATTATTTTCGTCGGAATAATAGTCGAATTTCTTTTTAAAAAAGTAAATAAAAATTCAGTCTGTTTCCCACTACAACAGTCGCAAAAATAGTCTCATTAGCGACTGCATAATTTTCAGTCGGAAAATTCAGTCACAAATTAATATTTTTTTTAGTAGTGACAAGGGCCTAATTGTTTAATTTTTTAATGTAAATTTAAACATAAACTATTTAAACTAAAATTTATATATTCATAGTAAAAAATCCGTTGATTTATCAAATAACATTTTTATCACATGTATGGAGTACAACTTTTAACGACTTAAAAAATAAGGAAAACAAGCAATATATACCTCTTCTCTTACGCCGTTTCCTTTTCTTCTCCTACAACAGGTTACCGTCCCAGCTGCTCTGAGTTAAAACAGAGTTAAAACAGCCGTAAGTTTGTAAACAGAATTAAAACCAAGAAAGACAATGGCTTCAAAGCCCTTACCTACTCGTTCAACCTTCATTGATAAACATGTAGTAAGTATCCACTTTTTCCCCACTTATTTTTTTCTTCTTTTTTATGTGCCAAGATATTTATGTCATGAAATTCACGCATGTATATTCAATGCAAAAAAGATTGTATTTTTGATTTTAATCAGGTTCCTGGTGATGTGATTTTGGATCTTTCTAAGTTGACTGACCAAACCATTAAGCTGGGTGGCGGCCTCCAACAGGTTTTGTTTCAGTAGGGTTAATTTCATATAGATGCTTTGATTATTTTTCGTGTAGCTACTGTGATTTTCTGAACTCTGCTTGTTGTGGCACATGGGTTTTGATACATTTTTGTTTTTTTGTTCAACACTTATTAGCAATGAGTAAAAGAACTAATTTTCTTCCACCATTTTCCCTGTATATGGTTCCCTTTTATATAGCTCAAACAATTTCATTAATATAACACCAAGATTGTTTGAAGATTATGTTCAAATTGTGTATATGACTCAACTCGTGTCAACAAGAGTCATCTAAAGTTTGTCCAGCTTTCTATAGAACACGGTCTTATCTCCCTGCACAAAAAAATACATATAAAAAAAGGTTCCGTTTATACTTTATACATCGCTCTTGCCATTTTTTCCTTCAGCAAGTTGGGATTTCACTACTTAATGCAACCAAATGCTAAAAACTATGTACATTTATAATGCTTTAGTTCTTCTCAAATTCAGGGTGTCCGCCAAATCTATCAGTGATTCTGGATCATTTATATACTTGACTTTACACCACGAACTCAAATTTGAAGATACCTTTCTTGCTATTTTGGGAAAATCTTCTATTTCTTTCATTCCATATGTACCAAAAAGAGATACATAGGTAATGTATTCAAGCTAGACACTGATCCTCTGAGATCTCCAACTTGTGGTTGCTTCCCCCACTGTTCTGTTCCGGGACATTTCCTTTATATATGTTATTTTCCTCTGTGGATGATAGTAATCGATTTTTGCATTATTTGAGTTATGGTTTGAATATTGGTACTTGAGAAATTTCTATCCTACTTCTAGTATGCTCAAAATACAATGAGGCAATACAGCAGTATCTTAGATTTTCTAACTGCCGTCAAGATAAATATCTCTGATCTTCTATACATATTTTTCCCGCTTTGGCAGGACCATGACGCTATAACTGTCGTCAAAGCTGGTATTTTGAGGTTTTCAAAGCCAAACAAATACTGGATTGAAAGCTCACAGAAGAGAGTGAGTGCAGTGCTATCTTTTTAGATTTTTTTTTTTGCTGACGAGAAATCCCTCTGGGGCCAACCCTTAGGTACAACCACAACCTTCGAAACTTCAGGTGGTTGACCAATATCTTAATACATTTAAAGTAACCTGAAAACTATTTCTTTTCACTACTGCATTCTTCTGATGATTGATGGTAAACTGGGCATTGGATTTTCTTACAGGGAAACACACAGGGGATGAGTACTAAGTAAAATAATGTAGTACTTATTCATTGTTTAGGTTGAATTTTGGAAATTGATGTTACTCATCAGCTTTGAGGTCATACTATAGTCTAAATAGCTGTAATATATAAGTTGCTCTGTTGGTAAAATGAAAATCTCATATAGGGTTTTATGTTTCTAAGCCAATGTGCATTATGGCTGGATCTCCAAAATTTAATCTCTTAAAATTTAATCTCTTAAATCAACTATTTGCACAAGTCCGTTAATATTACTATGTCTAAGAGATGAAGCAAGATTATCCAATTCAGAATTATCGGAGTCTTTTGTGTTTTTTCTTGTACTCATTTAACTCGGGAAAAAACTTTATAAAGGAAAAAAGAATGAAATTACAAAGTTAAACATATTGTGTTGAACCATGGACTGAAAAGGGAGCCATAGTACTAAATGATACCATCAGTGATACTTGATTTCTACTGTAGTTTTAACCGTCTTCATCTGTTTTTGACATTAGATTAGGATGATCTCTTTTTCTTGAGAAAGTAGATTAGGATGCTCTCTTCTAATCGAGTTGAACTTTCTTTCATTTGCTGACCCACTGTAATATATTTACAGTATATACCTACCGTGGGGGATACTGTTCTTGGAATTGTGGTGGACACAAGAGCGGATGTAAGCATTTTTAATTATTTTAAAACGGCTGCTTATTCTTCTTATTTATAAGTAATATCCCTGCTTATTGTGAGTTCCTTATTTCTGATTTCTTTTGAATAGTTATAATTACTTTGGTCCTAGCTGTGTAATCGATGCTTTAACTAGGAGCTTCCTGCTGCATTGGATTTTTTGCTTTTGTGTAGTTTGTTTCTTCTGCTTCCTGTTTTTGATCTAGTGTAGAATCAGATCTGTGGTGCACTTATCTAAAACATAATGAACAACCAATGCATGAATTTTGCCCCCTAATATTTGAGGAGGTTTATGATGTGTTTTTGGATATTTAGTGTAATTTGTTAAAGTTTTGTTGAAGCCAACTGTAGGGTTTTAGGTTCTAAACCACCACTAAGGACATATCAGCGGATGTTGCGCAAAAAGGGAAGGGTAATGATCCAAGTCTGCTGGGGAAAAAGTTTTTCTTTGGAGTGTGTTGATCATTGACCATATAAAATTACATTCATATTACTGTCATGGGGAGTATATGTTGATAATTGACCATACAAAATTACTTTCATTGAGGTAAAAGGTTGGTCCAAAAATATTTTCCTCTATTTTCTAGTACTTTTGATGATAGGTTTCCGGTCGTTTGTCTATTTTCCTGTCATTTTCATGAAGTCGTCAACATTCATCACAGATATAATGATGGTCCATGCAGAAAACGCATAAAATCTGAAAGCTTATTTTGATTCTTATCTGAAACTATAGTTGATGTTATTAAGATCTATGAATTTTCTTTGTACACTTCAAATTCACTTTTGAGTTTTCTGGCAGAACTTTTTTGTGGACATAAAAGGGCCAATGGTGGCATTCTTGCCAGTGCTAGCATTTGAAGGAGGGACTAGGAGAAACATACCCAAATTTGAGGTGCAATCCTAAATTCCATGATATTTGCTCATATTTTTTGTTCTTTTCTCCTCTGATTTTCTTTTTTTATGATAAGTAATTGTGCAAGTATGAGCAAATGTCATGGAATTTAGAGATGCTTCTTGCACTTTTATCTGATTGCACCTCAAAAATATCATAAGAAGAATTTGATTTTCAAATGGAGGATATTATCTCTTAAATTTATTGTTATGCATTCCCATTGTTTAAAATGTAAAATAAGATTCAGAAAAAAACTAATAGTGCTGCCAGCAGTGTTGTACGATCATAATGGCTCAAGATTATTAGTATTCCTACTCAATGTAAAAGGAGATATTGTGCCAAATGCCTTTGAGAGCAGTGCTTTCCTCCATGGTGGCAAACAAATTACTCGACTACTTAACTCATAAATTAATGTGAGTGCCTCTCAGTAACTGGCCTTCACATTACTTGTTCACTTGTATCGATAGCTTTATATGGTATTCACGTCCAATATGCCTGGATAAAACACGTACAGTTCTATAGCTATCCTTTCAGAAATATTCAGTTGGAAAAATGAGTTGATTCCTGGGATTATTAGCCGAGAAGTGGAGAATAGAAATGAAATAGAAATAAACGAGAAAAGAAGAATGAATGAAGAAGCAGAAAAGAAGCTCAAAGGAGAATTTGCAGAAGACGACTTGCACAAAGAAGAAAAAGAACAAAAACTCATCTTGAAGAAGAAAAACAATAAAGAAAGAACAAAAGGGAAAAGCAAAGATAGTAGAGTCTTAGCCGTTGCAAACCAGAGAAAAGGAACAAGACAAAAGCCATAGAGAGAATGCTCAAGCATNCTCTCTCTCTCTCTCTCTCTCTCTCTCCCTCCATCTTTTGACGTCAAATTCAAAAGATGTCAAATTCAAGCGAGGACCCTTCTCTTCACATTGCTGCATCTCTTTAAGCGATGAAGCAATCGCTTTTAATAACACTGGATTTTGGATTTACCTTTTAACCTCAATGTAAAGTTTGTGATTACCTGGACAAAAAAATGATGATTAGATTAAATCTCGACCGCATGAAAGGAAGTCTTATGACATGAAATTTTTATGTGAGTTTGTCTGATCAGAACCATGAATTAGATTTGGTCCAATTTGTTTATCTACTTAAAGGTTGAAATTGCTCCAGTGAGCTTAAAATAAGAAAAGGGAAATAAAAACAACTTGATAGGTGAACTAACTATTATTCCACACACAAAAAAGAAGTTATCCAGTATATAGCTTTTCATGTATCATTGTCAGGCTGAGTTTCTGCTTGTAAACATGCCGGCACCATCTTATTACTATTGTGCAATAAAATGACTTTCTTTCTTTCAACAATAAATTGATATTGTACTAATTAAAGAAAAGGACTATTTGCCTACCGGAACACCAAATTAATGTCATGTCCCCATATTAAATTCGAATAAACCATATGATTTATCTTAATAAATTTTTTTTATCATGTGTATATCAGGACCTATTTTCTTATAAGTTATCATGTTCTTTCAGGTAGGTACTCTAATTTATGCCCGTGTAGTCAAGGCCAACCCTGGAATGAACCCTGAGTTATCTTGCATGGATGGTTGGTACCTTCCTAATTAATTTGCAACAGGATTTTTTGTATATCATAATCTATCTGCTTTTATTCCTAATTTTCAAATAATTATCTTATTCAATACAGCTTCTGGAAAAGCTGGCGAGTTTGGCCTCATCAAGGATGGCTACATGTTTGAATCGTCAACTGGTTTATCACGGATGTAAGATTCTGTTTTGGCTTTAACTTGCAACACAGATCTTTTCTTAGGTTATACTGTAAACTTGCTGATCAGAAAAGAGACAAGAAAAAGGGTGAAGGTCTTGTTGCATGCTATTCAGGCTTAAGCTATTCCCTTAGCTACATGTTCATCATTTTGTATTTTCTTCTTAGGTTGCTGAGTTCACCAACATGTCCAGTTCTTGAGGGTCTTGGAAAGAAGCTAGCTTTTGAGATAGCTGTTGGTTTAAATGGCCGTGTGTGGGTATGAAATTAGTTCACTCTTTTTTGTTGCGGTTGGTTGGTTCATCTCTTTCAAATTGTCAATTAGTGCTTCCTTTTTCAATTTAGACATTTATTCTGCTATAGGTAAATGCTGAGCACCAATCCACAATCATTCTTGTTGCAAACGCAATAATGAACTCTGAGTCCTTGACTCCAGTGCAGCAAAAGATCATGGTGGAGAGGCTACTTGATAGAGTAAATTGAACTCGATTCAGCACTTTGACCATGTAGCTTCTACCAGCCAAATGAATTCATGTATAATGTGAAGCCAAAAGTAAAATTTAGCTTCTTCCTCCCAATTCTTCACTCATGTAACTGCACTGCGGTGAGATTATAACCAAAGGGTGTAACTTTATGAGTATAATTCGATTCGATGTTTAGAGACGAATGTCTATGGTTGTATTTGTTCTTCATATACCAATACCAATCTTTTTTCCATCATCCAACAGATATAAATGACTTGAATTTGTGACTGCTCAGTTTTGCAATATGAATTATCCCTTTTCACGACATGGGTCGCTCCATTTCCTTATATAAGTTGTAACGATTTCTCATATCATTTTTTCGTGGATTAGCATCTCCAACTCAGTTTTCTTTTGTCCAAATGACTAGGCACAAAGTTTTGCCCAGCAAACCAGCTTCACGATGACTTTAAGAAATGAAAAATGGGTGATATGTAACGGCAATCAAGATTATCACAGACTATTATAATGCGTCAAAGCCCCTAACCTAGTCCTAGATATATAATTGAGAAATCTTTGAGGTATAGTGGTGCACGAAATTTAATAAATAATGGATTTGTCCCTCTGTAACCGAAATTTGATAGATAATGGATTTGTCATCTATCCTTCACCAACTTAAATAATTAGACTTTTATTTGCAGCATGGTTTGAACTTTGAACGGATGACGTGGTTTAACATTCATACATCACGCACTATGCTTTTACCACTAAATCAAATTCATGTGTGCAGTTAGTAAGGAGTATTCAGTTCTTCGAGTTAATCAAAATAATTAATAAAATTTACTCTTATTCCGATATATATAAATATAAACTTTATGAGAAGTATAATTTTCTTTGTACAAAATAATAAAAATATATTATAATACTTTAGACTAAATTTACTACATTTGAATCTAGCATCTATTCCTTGTAATGAGTAACTTGTTATTGTTACACCAAGGGTGTGTTTGGTACGACGAAAAATAATTTTCGGAAAATATTTTTCCATTTTTCACTGTTTGGTTGCACAAAATAGTTTGGAAAATATTTTCCTAGATATCACATTTTCCTGAAATTGGAGGAAAATGATTTCCCTAGAAAAAGTTAGGAAAACATTTTCCAAAAATTCCACCTACTCTAACCCCAACCCCCTCCCCCTTCTCTCGCCTACCCCAATCCCCTCTCCAAAAAGTTTTTTTTTCTTTTCAGATTTCAGTTTCTTTTCTTTTCCGTCACCCCCCTTCCCCAACCCCCCACGTGGTAATTTTTTTTTTTTAAATATTTTCAGTGTTGGTTTTTTCATTTTTTCGGTTTACAAGTTCAAAATTTTGCAAGTTCCAAAGTTATGAGTTCAAAGGTTTATGTGTTTGGAAGTTTGCGAGTTTAGAAATTATAGAGTTTAGAGAAATTATAGAGTTTACGGGTTCAAAAGTTTGCAGGTTCGAAAGTTTAGCGGTTCAGAAGTTTATCAAATTTATGGGTTAGTAAGATTGTTGGTTCGAAAGTATATGGCTTCATGTTTATTGTATCTAAATTATCTATGAATACTCTTGAGAAGTTATTTTCCTTAATTTGCGTACCAAACACCGGAAAATGAGTAAAATTACTACTTGTTTTCCAAGAAAATATTTTCTACGGAAAACATTTTCCGTTATACCAAACGCATCCCAAATCCAAATTATCATATAATTAATCCCTTTTGTGATATTCCAACCAATTGATTTTTCTTAACTCTCTCTAGTTTTAATATTTTTTCAAATACAACAACAACAACCCAATATAATCTCACTAGTGGGGTCTGGGGAGGGTAGTGTGTACACAGACCTTACCCCTACCTTGGGTAGAGAGGCTGTTTCCAATAGACCCTTGGTATCCTTCTCTCCAAGAACTTCCACCTTGCTCTTGGAGTGACTTGAACTCACAACCTCTTGACAACCTTCTCTCCAAGAACTCCCACCTTGCTCTTGGGGTGACTCTCTGCCTCTACCCTGGGGTAGAAAAGCTGTTTCCAATACATTCTTGGTATGCTTCTTTCCAATACACCCTTGGTATGCTTCTCTCCAAGAACTTCCAACTTGCTTTTGGAGTGACTCGAACTCATAACCTCTTGTTTGGAAGTGAATGACGCTTACCATTAGAACAACCCATCTTGTCAAATGATTAGTAAATTGTTTTACATCTTCCAATAAATTTGCAGGTAAGAACCAGACAATTATAGTCCTTTTTTATCTAGTTGTTGCGAGCAAGAGTTAAGAAAGAACCAAAGAAAAAAAGAAGAAGAAAACGAAAAAAATAAAATAAAGAGAGGCCCTTGAGGTCATGTTATCTGCAAAGATTTTGTCTGGTACCGTACTAGTAGTTTATAACTTTATATTATCAATCAATAATTACCCACAGAGAAAAAGGTAGTAATATTTGCTTCTTGAGATGAGCAAAAACCACTTGTGCGTTCTGACATTCTATCATCATCAATAATCATAGGTAATTCGGTGCCCACCACTCCTATTAAATGGAGTAACAACTTCAAAAATGTTGTTTCCTCTTTTTCTCCTCTAAATTTGCTATGTTTTTTTTTCCTTTGCTTTCCCTTGAAATTCAGTTCATAGGAGTTGGTTAACATGGCGTCTCAATCAGACGAGAATAACCAGAATCCAGGTACCCTTTTGATTGCTCTTCATTCTTAATTCTTTACTGAAATTATTCCAAAAAAATTTGATCTTTTTGTACTTTATGAAGTTTGTGCCCTTTATCTTTAACTCGATAGGAGTATGTTATTCTGCTTCTTTTTCTTTTATGGTTGGTTGCCATATTTAGTTTGTTAAGCAATGAAATAGTCACTTGATAGTATTACATTTAATTGCCATTTATTGAATTGAGAACATTGGACGAATCTTTTGCTGAATCTAAAAAACTGGAACTTATGTTGTTGTAGAAGCTGCAAGATTTTGGGTTCGAGCAATCGCAAATCCCTGAAATTAATGAGGTCTTTTTCTGTATTCTTGAAAAATTGCTTTAGCAACTAATGGAATATATTAACCTAATTTCTCATATGAATGGACTGATTTAATATTAATTAGCTGGACATAATACTGTGCATATTCGATAACTAGATAGTTTTGTTTTCAGTATGAGGATTCTGATGGTACTAGGTTCATTAACTAGATAATTTATTTTTTAATATGAGGCTTCGCGATTAGACCGCACCAGCAAACCCTGTCAATAAGAGATATGAAGTGTTATGAAAAACCCAACAAATTCTGTGGCCCAAGAATGAATGGGTAGTAGGAGTACTAAATTACAGTTTATTACTAGGAGAGGAAAATATGAGACTGAGGACAATACACTCTGTTAAGTGAAAGCTTTCTCATCCTATAGAAATTATAAAATGCTGCTGAGATATTTTCAAGTTGAGCAGGACCAAGACAGAATATCTGGAGTGCAAGTTCAGTGGAACGACTCAGGAAGTGGACGAAGACGTGAGGCTTGATTCACAAGTTATCCATAGGAAGGATAGTTTCAAGTACCTTGGATCAATTGTATAAGGGAATGGGGAGATTGACGAGGATGTCACATATCGTATTGGAGCGGGGTGGATGAAATGGAGGTTCGCTTCCGGTGTTTTGTGTGATAAGAATATGCCACTAAAACTTAAAGCTAAGTTATATAGAGCGGTGGTTAGACCGATTATGTTGTATGGGGTTGAGTGTTGGCCAGTCAAAAACTCTCATGTCCAGAAGATGAAGGTAGCAGAAATGAGGATGTTGAGATGGATGTGTGGGCATATCAGGTTAGATAGAACTAGGAATGAAGTTATTCGGAACAAGATGGGTATGGTCTCTGTGGAGGACAAGATGCGGGAAGCGAGACTTAGATAGTTCGGGTATGTGAAAAGGAGAGGCACAGATGCTCCAGTTAGGAGGTGTGAGAGGTTGGTCTTGGAGGGCCTAAGGAGAGGCAGAGGTAGGCCGAAGAAGTATTGGGGAGAGGTGATTAGGCAAGACATGGCGATTCTCCAGCTTACTAAGAACATGACCCAGGATAGGAAGGTGTGGAGGTCGAGAATTAAGATAGTAGGCTAGGTAGCCGAGCGGTATCCTTGCTCGTTCAAGTAGTTTTAATACATCCCTCAGTGTTAGTCTTGTATTTTCTTATTATTAGATTTCTGTTATTGCTTACTGATTCTCTCGCTTCGTTTTCTGTTTGGTCTGCTGGTGTTGTTGCTTGCTGTTACTCTTTCCTGAGCCGAGGGTCTTCCGGAAACAACCTCTCTACCTTCTTCGGTTAGAGTAAGGTCTGCGTACATTCTACCCTCCCTAGACCCCACTAGTGGGATTACACTGGGTTGTTGTTGTTGTTGTACCTGGGGAAATAGTGAACTACAACTAGCTGAATTTAGATATCTGCATACACATGGGTTGATAGTTGGAGTTGCCACAAAAGACAAAGTAGTTTTGCTTTTGATATCAAAATCAAGAATACTGTCTTGTTTTGGTCAAATAATGAACTTCCGAGGTAGACGGAAAGCATGCAATTTCCATGACCACTTTCAAACGAGGTTTTGTTAATCTCAAGACTCCATGGAATTGTGAGCAACATATAGCTGATTATCTCATTATCCAGTGCATACATTATGCAGTCTGAAGTAACAACCATCTCCATTATGCATATTATATATACATAAGTAAGATTTTAGGTAATATCTGTACATATGGTGCAAACAGAAGGATCTAGTGGAACTCAGAGGTTACTTTAAAAATATTGGTTCCCTTGTGATCTTCTGTTTTTCCAGCCTGTCTTGCATTTAAAGCTAAATTGACTCTTGATTGGAGAGAAGGTATCTGTAGCATAAATACCTAACTGAGCTGCTAGCATGTAGGTAAACTGAGTTGCGGAGCATGTCCATTTGATATTAACTTTTTGTTGTCATGTTCTCTTCTTCATTACTTCAACATGTTGGGTTTCATGGGCTATATCTTCTTCAACCACTAAATGCAGCACAGACTTCTTAACAGCAATTATCAATATGCATCTTGAAAGTGCATATATGTTGCTGATAAAACGAAAGTGCACATATGTTATGCACGAAGAAAAATGACAAGATATTAGAATATGTGGTACTCCAAATGGCTCTAAATTTCTTGTATTCTGAGAACTGCTTACTGCAAACTTCTGTCATAGTTGAGATCTAATAGTTGTCGTGCACTGCAGCCAATTGTTTATTAACTTATCTACTCAGCACTCTCCTACTTTG